GTTTATAGAGCACATGAACTATTTACAGATTGAAAGTGTGGCAGAACTAATTTTGTTGATTCTTAATTGGTGCATCCCATGTACAGTGGTTTGATAGACAAAGAAAAAACCTTCCTAATCTCTCTCTCTACAGTTCCTTCTCTCCCTTTACCTATCACCCTTTTTGGTTTAATATCCATCGTCTAGTATCTCATTTACCTCAGTGACCATTTACACACCTTCCATTTTCTAAAAATGTCCCCTTCTTTCAGGATCACCACAAACTTCCTAATCACTTACCGCAGACTTTCTGTTGACAGAGTCCGGTTAATGCGTCTTTTTCTACCCTGGTGTCTGTAATAGGCAGAGTCCCGTCTGCACCCACAGTGGGGGCAGCTGCTACCACTCACCCAGTGGACTGAAACCCTTCCGTTTCTCCTCTCGAGGTGCGTAAACTTACGTCATAGGCATCTGAGGGGATATTAACAGAGTGAAAGTCAGAAAATGAGCTCACTTGCCTTGTGAGAAAAACCTTCTTTTTATTTCCATGTACTAAATAGCTTGAAGACCCAAAGGACATAGTTCATCGAAATATAGTGTAGATGCTTTTGCAGTTTCCAAATCTCTGTTCTTAGTAGAAAAATGGTAAAAAGAAATTGCCATCTGAATTTTAACAGAATAATTAATGTAACTTCCTAGATGCAATATAGTATACATCCTTGACCAGGTTTTCAGTATGAGACTCTAGCTGGTGACTTCACCATCTGATTGTCGTGCAGGTCTTGACCTGAGACAGCACAGTGTCACGCCCACGAGTGCCTCTCGCTAGGTTGTCTCAGGAACAACAATTGTGTCGCTGTTGCTCAACCCTGAGCTACCAGGTCCTGGGCATCAGTGTCCATGTGACTTTGATCTAAACAGAGCAGGTTGAAATTGGGTCAAAAGTGTCAGTATCTGCTTGGCAGTGTGGCCTTTTATTTCTGAATACAGATTCACGAGCTTCTAAACACCCCGATGTAAAGGGCCCGTGGTCAGTTGTCACTTCCTAGTAGCATGCTCATCTTCTTAAAATGAAGGGAAACACGAGAATGTCTTCTGATGGACCCGATGTGGAAATGTGGAGACACAGACGATGCAGGAAAGACAGAGTGAGGATGTGGGGGTGAGATGCTTTCTGTGCAGTTAAGAACCTTCTAGAGAGGACAACAGATTGGCTTCAGAACATAAGAAAAGGATGCCAAATGTGTGTATAACATTAATGTGTGCAAGTGTTATCGTCCATACGTCCCATGGTTTACTTCATCTAATTTCCCGCAGCCTTGCAGGGCAGGTTCCCGGGATCCCCATTGGCAGAGAGGAAGCTGGGAGCACAGAGAGGGTAAGGGACTTGCTCCAGGTCACTCAGCTTGTACTGACATTCGCCCCACATAAAGACTTCAAGGTCCATGTGCCCTTAACTTTGCTTTACTGAAACATGGATTATACTTCTGTGCTCAGAAAAGGACCGTACCGTGTCTGCATGTTCTGTGGCTATTTATACCTTCCAGCCATGGTTTACAAAGGAGAGTTACATAACTGTGCATCAAAGCTGTGTGCTGAGGACGAGATAGAAAATGATGGAATAATACAGAAACTTAGAGAGAATCAGACAAAGAGCCTTAAAATGACTTTTCCTTTTTGAATAAAATGTATCTTGGCCTTTAATCATATGAACTGAGTAAAGTGTGGGACCCAGAGCAGGTGTCTGGAGGGTCCAGGAAGGCACAACCCGCTCCTCTATTCCTACACATTCTCTGAAGTACCGTAACAGGAGCAAGGGAATTGTAGGATTTAGCTTCTGAGAACTAAAGTTTTGTAAGTGGGGAGCAAAGAGGGATAGTAAGGACAGGTGGGAGGAGAGCGTGGTCACCTGTGG